ACGTAAGGAATATTAAACATTAAAATATTAAATACAAATAAGTTTGATGATTGTAGCCACAGTCTTATAACTCGACATGTGTCCCACTCGAGGTTTAGAGTAGAGTATCAAGTCGTACACTCGAATTTATATTCGAAAATATTCTGACTAGTCTAGCACAGCTATGACCAGTCTTACTCACATATGACTCAATATACAGTAATGTCCCTCATAAAATATTTCGAGAAAAAATCTTAAATAAAGAAGCCAACCATAAGTTCAAGAAACATTACTCTATATTTTTGCAGTACAGAATAAAAGGAATGAATTGACTCTTCTCAATCAAGGTCATATGTACAGATGAGCCATCTATGTTAATATACATCGCCATTTTTTAGATCTCTAGAGTCACCAATGGCAGAACCATGCTACAATGAACCATGTTACCCTCCACCTTGCTATAATGCAGCACCAGTAGGTCAACCCGTTTATGGCCAACCCGTTTATGGTCAACCTGGTTATTGCCAACCAATAGGTCAACCCAGTTATGGTTTAACAACAACTCAGCCACTCTTTTATCAGCAGCCGGTTGTTGTTATGCATCACGATGAAGATGTTCAACATGGATGTCATTTTCTTATGTGTCTTCTCTCGGGTGGTTTAACACTACCTTTTTGGATTTGTGCAAGCCTTGGAATTTGTTGCGAACGACCTTGTTAAGAACAACTTGTAAATTCTTAGCATATTCGGAATACAGTGACATTTTTCGTCGATTTATCTTAATAAAATTTCTGTTGTTGGTGATGAAATAGAACACAGGTTTAGCAGATTACTAATTGGATCTATTTTTTCTGAGTATCAACCTGAAAGGTCTTTATAGTTTCAACATTTTTGAACTTTTCCTCAGTAAATTTTTCTGTCTAATTATATCAACTCTAAACATTTTTTTTCGAGATGTTGAAAAATCTTCGTTGATAGCTCACAAGCAACTAAGTCTATAAGCCCAAAAGTATGTAAAACAATACTAAAAACTGGTAAAGGCTAAAATGATTCTGAAAAATACACTTTAGACAGTAAAGAAGGGATCCACCTAAGATCAATAATAGACTTACTCTCTTTTCTCCCTCAAAACGGTTCCTGAAGTAGTAAAAAAGTTTTCTAATTCGTTTCTGAATCGTTTCGCACATCAACGAAATCCTCTGCATAATACAAAACCCCTTCGTGTTATCATCAATAGTTCATCAATTAATCTTCGTACTGGGATCGCGCGTAACACGGATTAATAGACTTTCTCCATGTTCCTTTCAGTTCCTACTTCAAATAAAAATATAGTTCGATAGTTCCTAAAATTTTCTACAAGCTGAGCTAATTCGAATTTCTAAGTTTGCACGGCCATGCACCATTGGTTACAAAAAGATGCTTAGTAACGTATTTAGTACAATCGCGAGGTTTATTTGTCGAAAAATGGTTTAAAAAGAAATAGAGAAGAATAGGATGGAGATGAAAGAGCTGAATAAAAGCTTCTGTATCAACTTATTGCTTAAGATCTTCCATGCATGTGTTTGGCTTTATTAAAAGTGCTGATCGCATAGATATAATCACATTCTAACGATTTACAGTATTAAGTCAAGAGTGTTCGTTTTCGAACTCTTTTGTGAGCATTGTATTGTTTGTGGTGCTGGCCATGCGAACTTAGAAACTCGAATTGGCTCACTCAGTTTTTACAGAATTTCAGGAACTATCGAACTATATTTTTATTTGAAGTTAGAACTGAAAGGAACATGGAGAAAGTCTATTAATCCGTGTTACGCGTGATCCCAGTACGAGGATTAATTGATGAACTATTGATGATGAAATGAAGGAGTTTGGACAACAAGAAATACGAGAAACGACCCAGAATCGAATTTGAAAACTTTCTTACTATTTCAGGAACAGTTTTGAGGAAGAAAAGAGAGTGAGTTCTGTATGATCGGGTAAGCATCATTCAGAAGGCGTCGCGTTCTATGTATTTCTTCTTAATTTGTCGTCTCACTCCGTATTTGAATACCATTTCGTTGTTGAGATATGAGGAAAATTATAGTAGCCTGAAGCAGCATAACGCCATTTTTCGGAAAGCTTGAAACATTCTTATTGGGTACACACACATTTAGACTTTTTTCTACCAACAATGTGATTGTCCATTTAGGTGCATTCCTCGTCTAAACTGCTAAAAATCCCGAGGAATGAAAACGCTCGTGATATTGCTGATAATCAAATTCGATTCATCATTAGCTGTAATGATGAACATTGGTGAAAATACATATCCAGATGAAAAAGTTCTGAAAAAACTTGTATACTTTTATTAAGACACATTCGTAAGCGAAAGTATGTCATACAAAATCAGACTTCGGGGGATGGTTCGGTGAAAAATTTAACTATGCAATTTGTAGCGCTTGATAGCTCTATCTTCTAGCCATAATCAGAGTTTTATCACACTGCAACTGATTATATAAGAATTTATAAACGATAATTATTTTCGCTCATGAGTTTCGCACTATTGTATAGAATCGGCATAACCCGTACAAAACCAAACTTTTTGGATTCGGATTTTCTTTATTCTGTAGTGAAAAGAGATGTCTTTTATATCCAAATACATGAAGTACAACAACTCTCTTTCTTACAATGCTGAGTGAGAAGATGAAATTTTCGTCGCTACCCAATAAATTTCAAAAAGGTTACCTATTGTATCGTAACACTAGGCTCAGACGAAATCCATCATACACGATGAGAAAGATCACCAGAAAACTTATTTTAGTGTATCTTGGTAACTGTGTAAGCGTTTGAAGAAAGTTTGAATTCGCTCAAAATACTTTAGAAAGTTGACTATTTCAAACTTCATCAGTGTTTTTCATATATCCGTCCACTTTTACTTTGTAAAACGTTTAATACAATTTTTGTAGAAAATTTCAAGGTATATGAATGAAGCTAAACAGTTGAAACACGGCTGAGAAAAATCGAAAACAAAAAGTGACTCATTATTACCGAATCACCTGATGTATATGCATTTTCTTTTTCGAAACAAAAGAGTTAAAAACTCTTCTCAGCAACAACTTGGCTAAAGAAAAGTTGCGTATGATTCGATGACAATGGTGTATATACTGTTTGAACTACATCACAAAAAAATGTGGTAAATCATTAGAAAAAGGTTCTAATAAACACGAATATTTATTTATTTTCAGTCCTTTTCGACTTAATTCATAATATTCTTGATTCTGTTTGATAGCAACTTGTCGACAAGGTCATTAAAATGTAATGTAAATGTCATATCTTTCTTTCCTATTGTATAAAAGTTGTCTACGTGGTATGAAAAAAAGAAAAAAAGAATGAAACATGTTGTAGAAAGTAAATGCGTGTGTCTGTTATAATATTCATTGGCACGTGCATAAAAAGAAAGAGGTAAAACAAAACATGACTCAAAATGCTTCATCATACTAATGAAATTCTTTTTTTAGAAAGGTAGATACGTATTATAGAGAAACAATATTCTATATCGACTCTTGTAGGTCTTTATAGAAACTCATTGAATATTTTTAATACACACACACACTATGCACTGACATTGTTTTGCTACTGACTAAATGTAAGTTAAATCTTTATCTTGTCATAATATTTTAGTATTTTAGATAGTTAAAATATTATAATATAAAAATGGCTGAGCCAGATTCTAAAAATACCAATTTGGATTCAGCTGATAGAAATTCAAATCTATTATCGACTGATACAGCCATTAATCAGAACAAAGCCCTTATTAATAGTGACATATCATTGTCCGCAGCAGATAATCCATCATCGCTGTTGAAGGCACAAGAAACCAGTTTAGAGGCAATTGTATTTCCACAAGCAGCAGGTATGTATAAGAAAGAAAAGAAGCTATGAAAAAGCATCAATAGTAGACCGTTGAAATAGACGCTTCTTCGTTATAACAAATTCTTCTCGATGATCACTACTGACATATATTTGTAGTAAAATTCGGCAACATTTGACTGTACGTGTTTCTGTCATAGTTCACCGTGTATTCTCGAACTGTAGTATAACATCTACACATCATGAGGAAAATAACAAAAATTTTTGCTTTTTAGTTTTGAAACAACGTGTTTGTAAGCGAGATTTCATACCAGATACAATTTTACATGCCAGACCATTCGAAGAAATACGTATGGATTCAGGAGGATTGGATTCCAAAACTAAAGGAAGCTCACCAGGCACAACTATCAAGCCAGATTCTACTAAATATTGTTAAAAAACTATTTCTCAGATATGACGTACTATATATTCCTTCTGTTGACTAGTTTTGGGGTATAATTATGGAATTTCATTTATTCTACTCATTTTATGTAAATGATATGTATTGGTTTTTGTTCAACGTAGAAAATTGATTTAATTTTTTTCTCTATAACGCGCTTCTAGTACGTGAATATCATAGAGAGAACCACTGATACTCCATATCAATTCTACAAAATAATTCAGCGCATATGTTTTCGGTAGTGTGGCGTGGCCACCTAACGGTCCACCTTCAGATGAGAAAGCTCGAGTTTTTGCTTTAACTTGGGCAAAGCTTAAAAATATATCATTAGACGCAGTTTTTCATGGTGATTACAAATCTGAACTCAAAAACAAATGAAAGTCAAATCTTCATGGTGAATATTTAAATATTTAAATTTTTAAATTTTAAATTTACTTTCCTGACCTAGGTACTTTTTCCAAAAATTTAAAAAACTATACTACCGGATAGAGAATCAAATCCTCTACCAAAGAGATCATTTGTTTTGACGTTTAGATGCCAAATTTTTTTTATTTTCTAAAAAAAGTTTTAACGCTTATTTTGAGAGAAATTTTATGTCCATTTAATCTAACTCTGAAAATTTATTTTTGACTGAATGGGATGAACGGCACCTCAAACCATCTATCTATGTGCAAATCAGAGCTTGCTAAGAAGTTTTGTGACAATAAAAATATATACCAAACCATCTGTAAAGAACAGCACAAAACGGTGAAATTTCGTAACGGCCCCTTTTATTTGATTTCCTCTGCCAGGGAACTAATTCAAGAAAAAGTCAATAGTGATTCTGATAGCCCAAACTGTGTGCTTTAATTTGTTTCTTATGCAATCTTGCTGCGAAATGTTTTGGCAAGACCTTATAAGATCATGTATTATCTTGCGGAATCTTGTAACCTCTTGTCGTAAGATCTTACAAGATCAGCTTATTAGAAATGTTAAGATTTTATAAGATCTCGTAACAAGATCTTACAATAAGTTATGATGAATTCCTACCACATAAATTTTGGTATATAGTATATATACTAGCCCTTTAAGTCCCATAGCAGCAAAAAAGCTACCTATGTTTTATAATTATTTTTCACAACTTAATTTATAAAAATTAGTACGTAATCTCTTGGAATGAAGCAATTAGCTAATAAATAGCAAATGCACTTATGTGGCACTGTCTGTAAAATAAACTAGGAGAAAACGATTTTATTAAATCAAATGTATTAAATTTATCTAAGAATCATATAAGTCTTCATTTCCATTCTTTTCTTAAGGGTTGGAACTACCATTTACATCCCATTATATTTGCTGAAGTGTCGGCTTCAAAAGTATAACTCCCTTTTTTTCAAATTTTGTTTCGTTGCTGAGAAAATTCGTTTTTTCTAAATCAGTAGCGAAAAAGTCGGAATTCTGTCCATAGTTTTCGATTTTCTCGATCAGAACTCAACTTCTATATAATAAAAATATCATATTTAGAATCAGGATCAAAAACTCAGTCGACTGATCTGTATTTCGAAATTTTTAGCTGATTTCAGTTTTGGGTGAAAATCGTTCCGACTTGGTTATAGTAATTCTTCTAAAATCTTGTAAGATCTTGCCTTATGGTATCTTGTAACATGATCTCACAAGCTCATATTTCAGTATTCTTCGCCCTGGGCTATTCTCACAGGAAGCATTACAATTTTCGCATAATCTGACTTGACCTAACCTAGGATGAAGAGGAAATACATCTAAAGTATAAAGACGAGTTGTGCGTACATTAGAATTTGACATCCAGGATTTGAATTTCTCGTTTATTGTAATGTGCTATGCATGTTTGAAAATTTATTTAAGACTGAATAATTTACATTTTACTGAAATAACCCGAAAAGCACTTCTATTTTTTGAAATTCCGTAACGGCCTCTATTTTGACTATAACTTTTGATCCGGTTGTTCAATCAAGCTCAAATTATCTTTGGTAGTAGAACTCCCTAATATCCATCATTGGTATAAATTTCATTGATAAACGTTGCTTCTTTGAGGGACACAGAAGGCGAAAAAATGAAATTCCGTAGCATTTGGCCAAGCCGAGTGACAGATTCACAGCGATTTCATAGCTTATTACGCTCTAATCTGGTAAGATATTATTCTAGCAACTTTCGACGAATTTTAAAAAAAAAATCTGAGGGCTTTTGATAGATTAAAAAAGAGTTTTATGGTATTAATATTAAAGATAGTAGTGTGATCCTAGGACTGGTACCTTTTCTAAAATATGTTCTAAATTTTTCTTTGATTTGTTGTATAAGGTTCGTAATCTAATGAAAATGTAAAAGGTTTTCTCGAGATCCCGCTAAGATCTCCAGAGGTTTAAAAATATTTTTGAATTCAAAACAATGCTCTCGCCTCCCTTCGGTCGGCGTTCGCAGCCAGTATAGCTGAGAAATGCTTTGAGCTTCTCTGATTCCTCCGAAAAACGTCTGATGTAATATGAAACCAAAAGGTTTTCTGGACATCCTCTGCAGATCCCAAGGAGGTTAGAACTATATCTAACCGATTTGCTATGATAGATTATCTGTACACTGGAAGTTTTATTATCCGTACACGATATTTTTCGTTTTTCTCACCGTTAACTGGTGTCTCACGACATCTGTCTTCGGCCTACAGAAAACGTTTGGTTAGGTTTTTTGTGTCTGCATGAGTAAAGATGTCATATAATCTCTTTGAATATTTTGTCTCGCGCGGTTAAAAAGAAATTTTTTATGATTCTCGCTTATGATTGGCTGATCCATAGAATATCTGACAGCCATTTTTCCGCATTTTGCACACACTCACACACACACAAACACAGACAACTATTTTGTAAGACCCTAGACTAAAGTCAAGGGAGTATTTACACGTATATATTTGATGTGATGCCACAGTGATTTTATGTTTATATCATTCTTTATTTCTTCTCGTTACACCAGAAAAGAAAGAGAAATACGCAATGAGAGATGGAAAAAAGAAGCAGACTCATTTAATACGGCTCTAATATATGGGAGAGTGGAAACTGAGTGAAGAGCGGATATTACTTTTCACACAGAAGTGGTGATACTTTTGACATTTTAATTCTTGTATAATTAAAAAGTAATTTGAATATCTGTTTTTTCATTGAGATTTTTCGATGAGATCTAAATCAATCTCATTGCGATCAATTGTTTTGAAAACGGACTTGATAAAAAGCAAACATCTAAACCCATTTATTTGTTTATTCACCAACAAGTGAGAGTTATCAGAAGTCTCTGACCTGTAATATCAATGAATCGAGCTAAACTACAAAAATGAAATAGGGTAAAACAAAAAATAACCTCAACTCCTCAAACAAACAACTAACTCAGAAAGTTTATTAATAGTCAAATACATAAAAGAAAACCATTGACAAAGATTGGAATACGAATATATTTAGAATCATGACTTCAAGAGGTATCAATCATTTGTTGGTGTTTTAGATCAGTGTGTTTCTAACAGAATTTATCCCCTGAGCGTACGAGTATGCTCTGTTTTTCCAACCAATATGAGTCAATATTTTTGCATAATTAGATTCGCCGGATACTCCTCTTCAAAACAACGGCTCGCTTTTCTCAAAAATTGGTTTCATTCCCGAGAAAGTACATTTTTTCTGAATCAGAAGCGAAAAAATCGGATTTCTGCCGATAATTCTCTATTTTCTCCATCAGAACTCATTTTTTATGAAATAAAAATATCATATTCGGAGGTAGCATCGAAAACCGAATCGAACGATATACTTTTTTACCCTATCCGACCACCTTTGTTTTTTTTCCAATTTTCACGTCGAAGAATTACTGAGATTTTCATCAAAACATGAAAATCAACGAAAAATTTCGAAACATATACCATTCTATTCGGTTTTCGATGCTACCTCCGAATATGATATTTTTATTGCATAAAAAATGAGTTCTGATGGAGAAAATAGAGAATTATCGGCAGAAATCCGATTTTTTCGCTTCTGATTCAGAAAAAATGTACTTTCTCAGGAATGAAACCAATTTTTGAGAAAAGCGAGCCGTTGTTTTGAAGAGGAGTATCCGGCGAATCTAATTATGTAAAAATATTGACTCCGGGACTCTGCAGAAAGCACCTGCCGTTTTTGCTAAAATGAGACCTGTTTTTTCGTCGCTTCGCTTTTAACGTCTTTGGTGGATAGGCGTTTAGATATATAAAGGCTTTTATTCCATATTCTAATTCACTTTTCAACGCTGAACAAGAATATCTGAGTTTGAAATGTTCCAAGTTGTAACCAAACTTAGAAAACTCAAATTTAAAAAAAGGCGTGAAAAACCGCGTTTTTGACCTCTTCGTAGTATTTTACAATTTTCTCAGTGAGGAAACGGTTTTGAGAGGCCGGCAGCACATATTCTTATAACAAGAAAAAAAGTCTCTTTCTCTATCTGTCTACTCACTTAAAAACAGTTAAAAAAGTTTTTCTTAAAAGAAGTTCTTTTAGGAAACAAAGTGTAAACAGCGATAGCAAACAGGGATGGCACTTTGCTAGTTACTCGGCGTTACTTTACCAGGTAAAGTAATGAACTTAGTTACTTAGCAAATAGTAACTAAGTAACCAATCTAGTTACTTCGTTACTCTGGAGAAAGTAACGAAGTAACGAAAGTTTTTTTAAGGAAAAAGCCATATTCAACTTCTTTTCAATATTCTCTATCGCTCTAACATATAAATCTTGATATGAAAGTCACCTTTCCCTAATATGACCAAAATTGTTTTATTGATCACTAATAAGACAGAAGAAAGTAAACTTCTTAGGATGTTTTAAAATATTTTCAAGTATTCAATGTTTCTGCGTGAAAAATTAACAACTGGACAGTGAACAATGATGTTTTTATTATATACTCTCATGTTGATATTGTATTGTTTTGTCTTATTTTATTTTTCTTCAACTTGGCAAAAAAGTACACTGATTATCAATAATCAGTTAACGAA